GAATGAAAAAAAATAGAGCCCAAAAATGCTGCTAAACCACAGGAATACAAAACTGGGATTGTGAATTTGTGGTAGTACATAGCGACTTTTACGACAAGCCGGCACTTGCTGGCTTTTTGCGGCATTTATGAGCCGGCACTGTACTGAGTTCTTGAGTTCCGTGGAGCTTCGACAGCCTGGGTATCATCCTCCGTAGTTACCGCCGGCTCCCTATTGTTGCTAATTATAGCTACCAGGGACTACGGAGGGTGGCACCCAGGCCAGAGCCTCGGAGGTGATTTTTGTTTTTGAGAACAGACGAAATTCAATGCGCGCGCGGATGTCACCCATAAGATTAAATCAGTGAGGCCTAACGTACAGATTATGTAAAAGTTTCAGGAGAAAGATATCTGATAGATCTAGAAGATCTTACTACCTGGATCCCTGTAATGGCACATACATGTCAAGGCATTAGATCTATGAATATCGATTCTGCTTTCTAACTAAAGCGAACGTCAAAACTGTAGCCAGAAACGCTTTAGAATAATGACAGGATGACAAGTTAACCGATCGAGGTTGATCCTCGGTGAGACCTTCTATCAGTTTTCTGTCCTTCAACAAAAAGCCACCTGTCTCCTAAGGCCGTTATTTCAATGTAATATAAAGAAATATGTAACGTTATACATATAGGTTTCCTCGATTGAAACTCTATGGATAGTTTGTAGCAGATATGCTGTAGAATAAAACTGTTCTTTGTTTCTATTATCTTTGGTTTTGTTGATTTCTTCAACCCTCGACTTGACTTTGGAACAAACCTTTATACATTTGTATGGACATTAGACCATAGCAAGTATTTTTTGGATGACATCAGCGGGCATTGATTTCCGCTTGATTTTGGGAAAAAAAAACAAGAAATTTTGCTGATGAATTTGACGAAAGGAGACTTGACAAGGCTCCGAATTAATTATTTTCTCTTTAACTTTGATGCAGTGATGTATTTCATTCCTTTTATATGTGATGGTGACTGTATATGCGATGTTCCCACTGAATCAAACCCATTTGTACAATGATTGATTTTATTTTTCGTTAAAGTTGTTTCGTTAAAAAACGGATGTTATAATATATTTTGGCCTGCTCTGTTCTCCCTATCGCATAAGATATGGCCTCTGCGGAGGATGTCATCCATAAAATTTACTTGCTTTAGCCTTATTTCAACTTCGTTTGCTTTGCCCTCGATACATTATTTTATTCTGCCACACCTATACAGAGTCTGTCCCTGTTTTAGCCATGGAGTGAGGTCCTCGCTCCAGCAGTCCCCCTCTGCCTGCCCGATGTCGTGTCCGTCTTCCTGCATGAGGGAATGAATGAATGAATGAACTAGAAAAATAACATTTGCAAAGCAAATACATAATGTTTACCTTCGCATATGGTCTGCTCTGCTAATTCTTACTCAAACACATTCATACATATGGTGACAGGAGTCTAAATCCCTCCAGCAATAAAATTGCAACATGATGTAACCCAACACTAGTTACCATGGTGACAGACGTCTGGTTCAGGTCATTGGCCTTATTTGTTTGGAGAAGAAGAGGAAGAAGGAGCAAAAACAATATTTTACTTTTGCTTCATGCGTATGGCTTTTACGTTTTTCCAAGCCTGTTGTAAGTATAGTGCAATTTCAAACACTCATTCTGTAAACACAAATTAAGTTTCTGTTACCTGCATGTTTAACAGCGCCTTCGTCGTCAGCAGCAAAGCATCATGGATCCTGTCCACCGGGTTGAACTCCGCGCTGCGTATCCCGACAAGCCCCACCGGAAGTTGCGTAGTGTCCTGACTCAGCGTGTCCTTGGTCAGAAAGGCCTCGGTGGCGATCCACACGAACTGGGACCGCGTTAGACCCAACTGGCTCGCGACAAGCAATATGTGTTGTCCATCGGACGGGCCGCAGTCTAGTACCACAACATGCGGGTCTGAATTACCGTCCAACTCCGCTAGGCTCCTCCCTACACTCTCCCCCCAAGGGGAGTCCACCTTGATCAGGGAGTTGATTGGTAGATCACCCTTTCTCATTAGACCAATCAACGTTCTCAAAAACTTGTTTCCAGGGGAGGGGTAGCACGTGACCAGGTTGAGCTTGCACCAGTAGTTGTCCTCTAGAATCTGGTAAATGACGTTAGCCTGTCGGACGGCTGGCCATCTCATCTGTAGGGTCAGGCTGGGAGGCACCTGCACAGTGGACAAACAACAGAGTTAATTTAACTAGAAAGGTAACATTTGCAAAGGAAATGCATAATGTTTACCTTCGCATATGGTCTGCTCTGTTGATTCTTACTCAAACACATTTATATATATGGTCAGACGGGAGTCTAAATCCTTTCTGCTATAAAATTGCAACATGATGTAACCCAGCACTAGTTACCATGGTGACAGACGTCTGGTTCGGGTCATTGACCTTATTTGTTTCGAGAAGAAGAGGAAGAAACTGAGCAAAAACAATATGTCTTCCTTCTGCGAAGGTAAACATAATGACGGTCCAACATAGCACGTCGGCAGAACGTACTGCACCTGCACGAAACCAGTGATGTATTGTACAGAGTACTTCAGCAGAACGTCTTATTTAAGGTCGTATTCGCCCATATAAGGTCAACACTCCGTCTGTAGTTTTCAAATGTTATGTCGGAAAATTAAAACTATAGTCTGCAACAGGCATAGTTTTGATGCAATGTTAATAAAAAATTAAGCGAAAACCGTAAAAATGTGGGTTTCGCGCAGGCGCAGTACGTTCTGCCGCCGTAGCTGATTCTGTGATCACGTGTCCAAAAGGTCACATGATTGAAGTGTGGGTCTTTTTCCCTGACGATAACTAGAGTTACAGTTGGAAACTTTGCTAAAATGCAGGAAGTTAAGACACTCATATAAAACACACTTTCGCGTACAGGAATAGCTACTGTACTAAAACTACTTGAGGATAAAGGCATATATTCATGCCTACAATGAAAGTAAAATTTTTATGTTGAAACTGTTTATTACATGGATGCTTTTCATTACTTTGCTGTTGATATTCTGCCAATGGCGCTCTTTTAGTACACTAGCCATATCGTGGAAACTATCCAACGCCTAGTGTTATTTGGTTTATTTGGTTTATAAAGATGCTCTTTATTAAAAGCGCATAGCCTGATTCTTGGCTTTCGGGCTTTGCAAAATAACGTTAATATACTCTGCGTGATACTAACGCGTGGCAGGCCTGTAGAAAATTATATACGTGTTACTATAATTTTAAAGATCGGTCCGAAATATTAAAGGCATCAAATACAATTTCAGGGCAGCAAACCTTAAAATATTCTTAATAAGGCAACCTTTGTGCTATTGACACATGCTGCTTTATATTAGCCAGCTTTTCATACTTTGAGCATTTATAACTGCAGAAACAAACCCCAAGATGAGCCATTTATTTTATACTATATTCTACAACATGACATGGCACTAGCTCTACTGGGTTTGACTTCTTCTTTTTAGGCAATGGAAGACGAATTTACCCACTTCTTCTATAATATGTGGGTTCTTTGATTTTAGTAGTAAGATTGTTTTTTTGTGGTAGGGAACGGTGGGGAAGTAAGGCAGCATTTTGGACACGGTGGTAAATAATTGATTTCTGATGTCGTCATAAAATGGACAGTTAGAGATGAAATGAATTACATATATATATATATATATGGGTTGCAAATACTGTACCATCTATATAGCGCCATGTATACGTACGATTTGGGAGTGTTTCTCGTGCAACACATTACATCGCAGTGAAATGCAATGAATGCGGAAGTAACTACGCCACCGCAGCGTAAAAAAAAGTCAAGGGTCTGTGACCTGATTAAGACTTGAAATTATTCAAAAATATTGAGTAAAAATGCCAACAGGACAAGGGTTTTTCTCTATTAAAAATATAGAATGCTCCGCACGTAGAGACTGAAGATGAGTGTGTTAGAACAAGCCTTTTTTCTGAGAACTCTGATCCTACTGCGCTACATTTCCCCGGTCACGCGAAAAGCCATCAGTTCCATCCCACACAGTATTAAGAGTGCTTCAAGCAGAATTTGATTGTCGTACTCCAGGCCCAATTTGCTACATGGCAAGACGGAGGCATGAATCATGTACAACCACGCTCACAGACTTCTCCAGGAATATATTCAACATTCGTTCGGGCGTAAACTTCCAGGAAAAAAAATTGTAGAATGACAAACCTAATTAGCTGAGTGTGTAAGAGACACATTTAGCAGTCTACGAAAGGCATTTAGCAGTCTAATAAACATATTTAGCCGTCAAAGTAACACATTTAGCAGCCTAAGAGACAAATTTAGCAGTCTAAGAGACCAATTTAGCAGTGTAAGAGACAGATTTAACAGTGTACGAAACACATTTAGCAGTCTTAGAGACAAATTTAGCAGTCTATAAGAGACACATTTAGCAGACAAAGAGACACATTTAGCAGTCTACAAAAACGTTTAGCCGTCTACAAAAGACATTTGACAGTCTGAGACATGAATCATGCACAGCCACGCTCACAGACTTATTTAGGAATAAATTCAACATTCGTTCGGGCATAAACGTCCAGGAAAAAATTATATAATGACAAACCTAATTAGCATTCTCGTAATGTGCATATTTAGCAGTCTATGAAAGGCATTTA